GTGAGAATTATTTTGTTATGTTTTATTTTATTATTTTTAGAAGATGAATCCCTGCAGTCACGAAAGCTTTAAATCGAAATTTAACATATCTGTGGTGTCCACCAACCCTCGCTGCTGCTGCTGCCGCCGCCGCCAATGCCACCACCGCCCAGCTCAACGCGTTGTCCCAATGCATTCCCACCTGGCTGACCAATAAATAGGAACAATCAATCAAGCTGCCCTTCTTCTGACGCAGCTGACAAATTCGCGGTCTGTGAATTGGGCTCCGAAGCGGCGTCTTTGTGCTTGCGAGTATTGAATAACGCAAAGCTCCGGCCGACTTAGAATTAATTTTTTTTTGGGAGGGTTTTCATTTTTCCAGATAATTCTTGCTGCCCCGGGCAGAGATGTTAACTACCTCACCTGGTATGCAGGAGGTCGTGGGTTCGATTCCGACCTTGATTGCCTGCTGCATATTTGGAATTTGTGTGTCTCTCTCCACATGGTCATGTGGATTTTTCTCTGGGTCCTGCGGTTTTTCCCTGCACGTTTAGAATGAATGATCATCACGTGTTTAGAGTATTTGGCTACTGCTGTATATTTCCACATGATGATAAGCCACTCGTTTGAGCTATCATTCACGATAGCCAGGTCTAATTTTCGATTTAAAGCTTTCGTGACTGCAGGGATTCATCTTCTTGGTGCTCTTCCACTTTCAACCCAGCTTAAATATACGCTCCAAGCGTGGTGGTGTTTCATTCAGACGCTGTCTCCCCGACAGACCTGGTCTTCGCCTGAGGACGGCTGCTTGCGTTGTGGCCGAAACGTCATGAGAATTATTTTAGTCTGTTTTATTTTTATTATTTTATTACTTCCCTTCTCTCGTGACTTTACCGAAAGAACCAAGAAGATGATAGCCAGGTGTCTTCGGAGAAAGAGCTATGTAGCTCAATGGGCCTTACCTGCTAAAATAAAACATTATTTAGTTGTAGTGTGTGTGATGGAGGGGTCGGGGGGGGGGGGGGCCTATTACTCCTCCGCGTGTCCAGCCCCGGTGTAAACCCCCCAATAGTTTTAGCCCAGCCGAGTCGTCGCAACGGTGTGGGTGATAAGGCAATCTTTTTTTTTTTAAATAGCCAGACCCATTAATACTCGCGTCTCTATTGTCACAGCTGAATGGTGTTGTTCCTCTTCTGCATGAATGGCGGTGCATTAGTCTACGTCCAGAGTAAGTGGACGTGCAGTGGATGGCTTCGATGCTTCCGTAGAATTTTTGGAGTTGGCAATGACTCGCACGGCTTGCGCAGAGACCCACAGACTCGCGCATTGTTCACAGCGGTTCACTACTGTGTGGTCTCACTACTATGTGATCTCACTCAGTGACTTGCAGGTTCACGTAGAGTCCCACGGACTCGGGCAGAGGCCCACGGACTCACTGCTGTGTGGTCGATGGTCCGGTCGGTGTCTCTGCGATTGCACGCCACGCTTTCCGTGAGCTTCCGCGGGTGAAGGTCACAGTGGGTGGATCTGCCATGATTAGCACAGTTGCATTGAACGCGGCTCATTATGTTTCGAGGTGTACATTAAATCCCGTCGGTTCTTGAGTGCGCGATCGGCTAAGTGAAAAGCTCTCGTTTGGCCTTTGGGTTTGTTTTTGTTTACTTTTGTTGTCCGGCGGAGGCCCCGGCGCGGGATTTAATCTCGCGTGCGCTCGGGGTCGCCGCTCCCTGCACCGTGGGCGCCGACGCGACGTGATTTTCGGTAATCGACGCAATTAGCGGGCGGCGGCGTGGCCTCGCCGTGGTCGTAGATCGCCGCTGTCGGTTTCACGTCGATGCCGTTGAGACGCTCCGGCGGGGGCGGGAGCGGGGGTATTTAACGCCACCGCCGCAGCTCCTTTCCTAGGTGTGGTGCTAACGACCGCGGTGATGACGGCTCCCCGCCACGGGTGTATTGCAAACACACACGATTAGGAGAATCGATACGCGCTGCGCAGCGAACTCACGGGACACTCCCTGCGTGTGTATGAATGTTGAACTTAAGCCGACCGTGCTAATCTGAGGTGACGGGGGGGGGGGGGGAAGGACAACAAACTAAACTATGATGAGCAGTTCTAAAGAAATGAGTTTGTCAATCGAGATGATGATGATTTAAAAGTGCGTAGCTACCAGTGGCTTCCTAACATCGGAAAGAAGAGCGTTCCAAACCGCCGCGGAAGCGCACCTGGTTGCTGCCACCCAGCCCGCATCGCCGCCCCGATCGATGCGGTGCGCTCGCTCGCGCGCATCCGACCCGTCTGACCCGTCCGAGCGTCCGTCTGCCGGCTCGGACGAACGTCCGCGCTCACCCCCTGGGCTTAATTGACGTCAGCGCAATCACCACCGCGATCGGTCTTGGGGGGTGGGGGGGTGGGGGGGTCAGGCCTGCCAGAGGGGGTCGGCTCGCCAGGACGGCGCGCCCAGAGGAGCTGTCACCCCGGGACGATGACCGAGCGCCGCCACCGCCATCGTTTATTTGCATGAGTAACGGTTGTTGCACGTGTTGCTGCTGTTGCTGTTGTTGTTGCCACCCGGGGGACCGGGGGGGTGGGGGTCGACGATGTTCGGTCGCTGCTTCGATGGCAAAAGTTCCCGCTTTTGATCTTCCACAAATGCTCCGTGGTCCACCGTAAACTGCGTCCGTGCAAACCGCGGCAGATGCGGATACCTGATGCACAAACGAAAAACTCTCCAGTAGTAGTAGTGGCGGTGCGACTGCGGTCATCCAAAACAGACGGTACGCAAACGCGTAACGACTCAATGCCCCCGATCCACGAATAGGAAGGAGACATCACGGCGATGGTAACGCTACTCCGCTGTCTCCTGACGCGGTCGCCTGGCTTGACCGCCCGCCCGCACGTGAAGTCGTCGCGCTGCGTCCACATCGGCCGCCGTACGCCGAGACGGACGGGATCGACGGTCCGTTTGCGCCCACCGAGTGCGCGGTGCGCGATGCGCGATGCGGCGTTGGCTCTCGCGAGCGATTTCACCGTCGTGGTGCACACACCGAGACTCAACGTGTTCGGCGGGCGAAATGCAAATTCGCCGTTGCCGCCGCCGCCTTGAAGCCACGGGAAGTTTTGCCGGGCGCCGGGTGGGCGAAGTGAGTGCTGGTTTTCCTGCAACGCTCTCGGCTCTTGGGAGCTCCGTGTGGTCTTACACGAGGCTGAAAGCGGCGTCCGTGCAATGGGCGTCGAGGGGGAGCGGTGCGTCACCCGCCGCTTTGCGAGCAGCGCACCCTTTGGGGCGCCACGGTGGCTAGGAGATGTTGACATCCTCGCCTGTCATGCAGGAGGTCGTGGGTTCTATCCCAACCCTTGACGCCCCTGTCTCTTTGGAGTTTGCGTGTTTCTCTCCCCGTGCTCGCGTCGATTTTTCTCCGGGTCCTCCGGCTGTTCCCTCCTCATTTAGAATCAACAGCGCACGTTTAGAGTATCTGGCTGGTATGCATTTTCACGTGACGATAAGCCAACTGTGTTGAGCTATCATTTGTGGCCTGGTCGCTTCTGAAAAAGAGCCACATCGCTCAGTGGGGGGGGGCCTTACCTGGTAAAGATAAAAAATAGTTTTAAAATAAAAATTGGATCCCTGATTACTGCAGGGGGGGCTGATAGGGGGGGGGGCGGGTGGGGTGGTGGAATTTGAGCAAAGACGGGGCAGAGGAGCGTTTTGATAACACAGGGGAATTTACCTGGTTGGATCAAATAATCCGGAAGACATTTGGCAGACTTCTTTTGCAAACCTGGTAAGGATGGAGACAGCCCAACGCCATTCCCCGGTTGTCCGGATCGTGAAGCGACGGGGGGAGAGCGGGCGAGCGAGCCGTGAGAGCCGCACAATGCCGAGGGGACTGGGGGACATTGTGTGGCGACCTTGGTGACCTCCGCACGCTGGAGATGAGTTGCCTGCGGGCCCGTGTCCTCGGGCACGGCGCGGTTACACCTTGACTAATGTGTAGCATTAGTCGCCTTCATGTGTCCGTGTGTGTGTGTGTGTGCCTGCCCCGTGACCTCCTGGCAGCGGGCGTTCGACACTTCACGTGGCCTCAAGGTGCACATGGCCTGGCACAAGCGTCGTGGTGACGTCACCGCCACTTAGTGGCGAATGGCGGTTGTTGTGCCTGTGCGTGCGCCGTGTATTCACGTACCTGCGAATCTACGGGACACGCTTTTATCCGCATATCGGCATAGCTGTGTATCTAAATGCATTTGTATCCACGTGACCTGATTTTGCACGCCCGTCTGCCTGTTCGCGGTGCTGTTCGTATGGGGAGCGGTCGTGCCGCTGCGCTACGAACCCGGGCACCCGAGTTCGATTCCCGCTCACGGCCAACACCCAGTGACGATTATTTGAACCGGTCCTGGGCCCTCCCCTAGGTTGACTCGGCATCAAATGAATGTCTGGTGCGGTGTGTAGTTAATACCGTCACTGGGGAGGCAAAGGCGGTCGGGCGTGGTGCTGGTCACCCACCCCCTCGTGTGCCGTTCCGACCTTCATAGGTACGGCTCACTAACAGCACTTGCCCCAACAGTCTGGTTTGGCTGGACGCGGGATGTTTTGTTTCTTTCTGTTGCAGACATTCTAAATCCACAAGTCTCTGTGTCTCCGCCTGCCCGTCGGTGTGTCCATAAACCCGTGTGACACCCTGCCCCATGCTGACCATTGCGGCCGTGTGTGTGTGCGTGCCGTGCGTATGTGTACGTGCTCGATATGCCCTTGCGGCACACGTTGTAGCGGTAGTCGTGGCAGTTGGCACGCTGCGCTACGAACCCGGCAATCCGAGGTTCGACTCTGCCTGCTGCAGTGTGTAAACAACGGCACGAGAGAGACAAAGTCGGCCGGGCGGGGTTCCAGCCGCCTGCCCCCCCTCACGTGCCGTGCCGGCCTTCATCGGTGCTAACGGCGCTTGCCCCGCCAGTCCGTTGAGGCTATTGACGTTAACTTTTGTCTTGCGCGTGTACCGCGTGGCGCTCGCGCGTGTAGGCATGCCGCGGCTGGGCCCCGAGCTGGGCCGCGGGCAGTACGGCGTGGTGTACGCCTGCCACGAGCCTTGGGGCGGACACGCGCACTGCGCCCTCAAGTCGGTCATCCCGCCCGACGACAAGCACTGGAACGACCTGGCGCTCGAGTTCCACTACACGCGGTGAGATTCGACAGCCCGGCGCCCCTCGGCCGCCCGCTCCGTCCGTTCGCTCGCTCGCCGTTCCACTCGTCCGCTCGCCAGCTCGCTCGCTCGCCCGGCCACTGGTCTGCTCGCCCATCTGCCCTCCGGCTCGCTTTCTCGCTCACCCGCTCATCCACTCGCCAGAGGTCACAATCGGGTACCCGATACCCGTACCCTACCCGATACCCAGCTACCCGTACCCGGCCGGGTACGGGTACCCGTTTACGACCGTGGTGCGGCCGGGTACGGGTACGGGTAAGGAATCAAAACTCGTTTGCGACCTCTGCCACTCGCCCACCAATCTTGGCTCATTCTCCTCTGTGCCCCCCATCTGTTCTGTCGACTCCCTGTTCCTTTTCAGGTCCAGGCTCAAGATCTCTATCGCCCCTTCTGCCTGTGACCGACTGATTGTGCCTCTCTTTCTGACCAACGTGCCCACCGTTGCGCCACAACTGCCTTGAGATGAATCTCCCATTAGCCGCACCTCTGATTTTATAGCGCGGTTGGCTACGTCACGTACGCACGCACGTGATGGTACCAATGAACCGCTGTACACAAATCCGCGTCGCGACCGTTATTCTACCGATTGATCAAAACATTTCCGCGGTAGGTGTACGATTCCAGCGGAGAGTCGCCGCCCCGCTCGATCCCTCGAACGCGTGGCATCTCATTAGCATCCCCGTTTGCGCGTTTGACGTGCTTCTCAAGAACGCCGCATCAATCTCATTCCCGCCGTCAGCGATCGATCGTCCACGCGTCACGCCTCGCTCCCATGTGGGCGAGCCGCGACGCGGGCCTACTTGACCATTCCCGGCCTTGGCCGTCGTTATGGCAACATCGCGGTAATTCTGCGCCGTACCTAATGTGCATTCAACGGTGGAGCGGTCTGATTGATACGTGCCCGCGTATGCTTGTGCGTGCGTGTAGATCCTTTCAGGGATGAGGATTTGTATTTATAGGTCCTTTAAACTTTAGACTCGGAGCCTCTTACGTCACATCTCGGTGTCCGTGGCCCAAGGGTGACGCATTCGCCGCTTGTTAAGTCGTTCACGATTCGAATCCGGCGGGTCGCCCTGGTTAATGCTGCCCGGGTGTGTCGACCATGAATACCCGCCCGTCTGCTTCAGGGTGAACTTTCAAGGTCCTCTAACGTCATTCGAAATGAGTAGGCCATTGTGAGGCCTGGCCACGCCCCCCCCCCCCCCCCCCCTTCGTGTGCCGTGTCGACCCTGATGGGCTATTCGCGGGATCTTTGTCTTGTGCGTTCCTGTGTGTGTGCAATGACGCCCGTGTGTGTGTGCATGCTAGCGTGTGCGTAATACCGCTTGTATGTGTCAGTGTGTGTGTGATACCACGTGTGTGTGTGTGCGCGCGTGCGACACAACTCTGCCAACAGTGATAATTGTTTTTTACCCTTTTATCTGGCAACAAACTGACACCTTTTTGACAAGGAGTCATGTTTGCATAGACCACAATACCTGCAGCCGTAATGCAAACAAAAAACATAACTCTGATAATGTATGCACTGTCCTTGAAGTTGATTGAAGTTGATTGGTCCACACCCGAGACAGCTTTCCTTAGAGCCTAGTCTCACATGGTGTTGGACCAGATGCACCACCTGTGCCATCAGTGTTGGCACAGGTGGTGCATCTGCCAGTCATCTCAGTCGGTCAACACCGACTGCACCTGAGTCTGTCCCGTGACCTCCTGTCAGCAGTGAGCCTCCCGCATTGCACGTGACGGCCTCAAAGTGCAGCTAGCCTGGCACAGGCGTTGCGAGGACGTCACTCGTTGGCGAACGTTGGCTGTTGTCGTTATTGTTTTGTGTGTGTGTAATTCTGCGTGCGTGCGTGCGTGTGTGATTCTGCGTGCGTGCGTGTGTGATTCTGCGTGCGTGCGTGTGTGATTCTGCGTGCGTGCGTCGTGTGGTTTCTGCGTGCGTGCGTGTGTGATTCTGCGTGCGTGCGTGTGCGATTCTGCGTGCGTGTGTGATTCTGCGCGCGTGCGTGTGTGATTCTGTGTGCGTGCGTGTGTGATTCTGCATGCGTATGTGATTCTGCGCGCGTGCGTGTGTGTGTGGTTCTGCGTGCGTGCGTGCGTGATTCTACGTGCGTGCGTGCGTGATTCTGCGCGCGTGCGTGCGTGATTCTGCGCGCGTGTGTGTGTGTGTGTGTGATTCTGCGTGCGTGCGTGCGTGCGTGTGTGATTCTGCGTGCGTGCGTGCGTGTGTGATTCTGCGCGCGTGCGTGTGTGTGTGATTCTGTGTGCGTGCGTGTGTGATTCTGCATGCGTATGTGATTCTGCGCGCGTGTGTGTGTGATTCTGTGTGCGTGTGTGATTCTGCGCGCGTGCGTGTGTGTGTGATTCTGCGCGCGTGCGTGTGTGATTCTGCATGCGTATGTGATTCTGTGTGCGTGCGTGCGTGTGTGATTCTGTGTGCGTGCGTGTGTGATTCTGCGCGCGTGCGTGTGTGTGTGATTCTGTGTGCGTGCGTGCGTGTGTGATTCTGCGCGCGTGCGTGTGTGTGTGATTCTGCGCGCGTGCGTGTGTGTGTGATTCTGTGTGCGTGCGTGTGTGATTCTGCATGCGTATGTGATTCTGCGCGCGTGCGTGTGTGTGTGTGTGATTCTGCGTGCGTGCGTGCGTGTGTGATTCTGCATGCGTGTGTGGTTCTGTGTGCGTGCGTGTGTGTGTGTGATTCTGCGCGCGTGCGTGTGTGTGTGTGTGGTTCTGCGCGCGTGCGTGTGCGTGTGTGATTCTGCGTGCGTATCCTCACCCAGCTCGATGCCGCGGCACGACCGGCTCGTGTCTCTGCACGGCTCCGTAATTGACTACACGTACGGTGGCGGCTCCAACATGGCCGTGCTCCTCATCATGGATCGGCTGCTCCGCGATCTCTACACCGCCATCAAGGTGCGTGCGCATGTGCTCTTGTTCACGCGCGTGTCAGTGTGACCATACGTGCGTGCGTGCCATCTCGTGCGTCCATGTGTGCGTCGGTGAGTGCGCCCACGCGCGCGTGCGTGCGTACATTCGTGCCTGTGTGCGTCAGACAGATCTTTCTCTCTGTAAACGTGGCCGTGCGATGCGTGTGTGTGTGCGCGTGCATGTGTGTGTGTGCGTGCGCGGCCGATTCAGCGCTCGTTTGTGCGCCCCTAGCGAGCGATCGTGCCCATCCCGCATCCGCGCGACTTGCGAGGTCGTGCGGTCTGCGATGGACTTCCATTTCTGTCCGTTGGGGATTCGTGACACCGTGCATCGGCAAATCCCCAACTGCAGGCAACGCAGCCGGGAGTTCATTTGCGATCATTCTTTCCTTCGTGTCGTTTCCCCGTTGTTGTTTTTTTAATACCTGCTGCGTTATCGGCGCCAGTTTATGAAACGACGAAGGGTCCAGTCGCCACCCTCGCTGAAGGAGATGTCACAGAACTACTTGTGAGATCCATTCCAGCGACCTCTTGCCCGCTCTCGGGGGCAGCACTTTCCCACCCGCCTCCACTACAAAGGTGCCCGTCGCGTCACGTTCAAAGCAACGTTTTATTATTAATATTACTCGACGAGCTGCAAGTTTAGCCGAATTCAGTAAAACAAAATATTAATACAAACAAAACAACGCGCGCCCGCCCGCCAAATGCACAAGAGGCATCCTTCACGTGTCCTTTGCATGTGTTTAATAATAAGAGGGGGACGGCTTTGAAGGGATTTGTTTTGTGGCCGATAAACAAAAAAACGCGTAATAGCCCAGAGAGAGCGAGACGCTGGGGGGGTGGGGGGAGCGTCGGTTCTGACCCTTGCAAATGGAGCCTTATCTTTTCTGCTCTCAGGCCTAAATAAATAAATAAACGCGCCAAGGAGCTGAAAGATTCCGCGTGAGGCCTCTTAATTACGGCCACTCCACGCAGCTTGTGTTTGTTAAAAAAAGATGCACTTGGGTTTGTTTTTTTTTCTTTCCTCCGCCGCCGCGATTTTTAACCCATGAGGAGGAAAGAGCGACGGTCCGAGTCCGTTGCGCCGCGTCAGCTCTGCATCCGCGAGTTGTTAGCTACCTCGCCAGGTATACACACGAGGTCGTGGGTTCGATCCTGAGTTTGCGCGTGTCTCTCTCCCCGTGGTCGTGTGGATTTTTCTCCGGGTCCCGCGGTCTTTCCCTCCGCATCTTGAAGTGTGCGTGAAGAATATTTGGCTGCTGTAAACTTCCGCACGACAAGCCACTCCGCTGAGCTATCATTCGTGGCCAGGTCGCTTCTGAAGAAGAGCTACATAGCTCAGTGGGCCTCACCTGGTGAAATAAAAACAGTTTAGTTTGAGTTTACCCCGGAGATGGCTCGACTTCGCCCCGACTGCGAGCGAGCGTCTGTCTCTCTGACTCTCCATTGGACCATTCCATCCATCCGTCCGTTCGTCCGTCTGTCCAACTGTCTGTCCATCTGCTCAGCCACAATTCGCTCGTCCGTCTGTCCATCTGTCTGACCATCCATACTTCTTCTGACCATCCATCCATCTGTCCGCCCGACTGTCGGACCGTCCGTCCATCTGTCTTTTCGCTCCCGTTCCACCGCTGTTGTCCAGGCAGCAGTCACTGCAGGGTGAATGTCAGGGCTTGAACGGATCTCACGCAGAACGGCGCAACGTCTCCCTTGTTCGCTAAACGTCGAAGTGCGGAAGCGGATATCGCAAAACTACTTGCGATATCCCTGCACCTGACCTCGTTCGTGCGGTAGGGCAGCGGTCCCCAACCTTTTTGGCACCAGGAACCGGTTTCGTGGAGACAACTTTTTCACGGACCGGGTTACCGGTCCACGGCCTGGTTCCTAACAGGCGGCGGACCTGTACCAGCCCGCAGCCTGGGGGCTGTGGATCCCTGCAGTAGGGGACGGAACTTTGCCACCCACCTCTGCCACCGTGAATAACATTTACATCACCCGACAGTCAGATCCGCAATTAAGCGCGGCACGGAATTGGACGTGCCCGTTGGTGCGGTCACGGGTGAGCCGGCTGAGAGAGAACGTCTGCTTCGCTTCGCTCGAGAACTCGTGTTCGATCACCCGGTGGCGGGCCGACGCCCGGATTCTCGCGACCTCACCGGCTCCGGCTCGGCATCTCCGTCGCGACCCTGGGCCGGGGCTCCCCACGCGGCCGTCCGGGCCGCCTCGCCGCGATCGCAAACAAAACATCCCCGAGGGCAGGAAAGGGTTAGTGCACCAGGCCGGCTCGGCCGTTGCAAGCCCCGCATCCTTCCGTCCGTCCTCGCGGCGATCGCCGAACAAAGGCGTTTTGTCCCGCGGACTGCTTTCCCGGTGTAGTTAGAGAGAAAAGGCCCAATCCCCCCCCCCCCCCCCCCGCTAAAATGAGAGAGAGTGAGGAGAGAGTGCCGCTCACCCCCTTTGAAGGGAGTATTGAAGTTGCTGCTAAGTGCCACCCACCCCGACCCAACCCGTTTCTTCCCGCCAGCGGCATTAACGCTCCCCGCCACGCTTTTGTGACGGGACAATGAGCGAGCCGCCTCTTAGCCGCGGATACCGACGCGCGAGCGTGACGGTCCCGGCGCTGCTTTCTTTCTCCGCCGTCGTCATCGTAGCAGCAGCAGCAGCAGGCAGCAGCAGCCCGCGTCCGTATTAGTATTGTCATTCAGGTTGTGTTATTTATACATACGCGCGCGCGCGCGTGTTTCGAAACACAAGCACGCACCTCGAAGCTGTGAGCATTTGTCTTCGTTTATCGACCAGCGGGCGCCAAGACTGCTCAAAGTGTGGATACAATCAGCAGCGCGCAGTTGAATCAGTGCGTGGGGTTTTGTTTGATCAGAACACTCGGGCCCGACGACATATTCAAATGAAAGTCTCGTGCTTGAGAGTGAGCATTTGCAAACGGAGCAGAGAAGTGCGTGTGTATTGTGTGCGAGCGTGTGTGGAGGAGCGGTGGCACAGTGGTTGTGTGTATTGTGTGCGAGCGTGTGTGGAGGAGCGGTGGCACAGTTGGTCGTGTGTATGTGTGCGAGCGTGTGTGGGGGAGCGGTGGCACAGTGGTCGTGTGTATTGTGTGCGAGCGTGTGTGGGGAGCGTGGCACAGTGGTCGTGTGTATTGTGCGTGAGCGTGTGTGGGGTAGCGGTGGCACACTGGTCGTGTGTATTGTGTGCGAGCGTGTGTGGAGGAGCGGTGGCACAGTGGTTGTGTGTATTGTGTGCGAGCGTGTGTGGAGGAGCGGTGGCAACAGTGGTCGTGTGTATTGTGTGCGAGCGTGTGTGGGGAGCGGTGGCACAGTGGCGTGTGTATTGTGTGCGAGCGTGTGTGGAGGAGCGGTGGCACAGTGGTTGTGTGTATTGTAGTGCGAGCGTGTGTGGAGGACCGGTGGCACAGTGGTCGTGTGTATTGTGTGCGAGCGTGTGTGGGGGAGCGGTGCACAGTGGTCGTGTGTATTGTGTGCGAGCGTGTGGGGGAACGGTGGCACAGTGGTTGTGTGTTGTGTGTGAGCGTGCGTGGGGGAGCGGTGGCACAGTGGTCGTGTGTATTGTGTGCGAGCGTGTGTGGGGGAACGGTGGCACAGTGGTTGTGTGTATTGTGTGCGAGCGTGCGTGTGGGGGAGCGGTGGCACAGTGGTCGGTGTATTGTGTGCGAGCGTGCGTGGGGGAGCGGTGGCACAGTGGTCGTGTGTATTGTGTGCGAGAGTGTGTGAGGAGCGGTGGCACAGTGGTCGTGTGTATTGTGTGCGAGCGTGTGTGGAGGAGCGGTGGCACAGTGGTCGTGTGTCATTGTGTGCGAGCGTGTGTGGGGAGCGGTGGCACAGTGTGTGTATTGTGTGAGCGTGTGTGGAGGAGCGGTGGCACAGTGGTCGTGTGTCATTGTGTGCGAGCGTGTGTGGAGGAGCGGTGGCACAGTGGTGTGTGTATTGTGTGTGAGCGTGTGGGGGTGCGGTGGCACAGTGGTTGTGTGTATTGTGTGTGAGCGTGTGTGGGGAGCGGTGGCACAGTGGTCGTGTGTATTGTGTGCCAGCGTGCGTGGGGAGCGGTGGCACAGTGGTCGTGTGTATTGTGTGCGAGCGTGTGTGGGGAGCGGTGGCACAGTGATCGTGTGTATTGTGTGCGAGCGTGTGTGGGGGAGTGGTGGCACAGTGTCGTGTGTATTGTGTGCGAGCGTGCGTGGGGAGCGGTGGCACAGTGGTCGTGTGTATTGTGTGCGAGCGTGTGTGGGGAGCGGTGGCACAGTGATCGTGTGTATTGTGTGCGAGCGTGCGTGGGGAGCGGTGGCACAGTGGTCGTGTGTATTGTGTGCGAGCGTGTGGGGGAGCGGTGGCACAGTGATCGTGTGTATTGTGTGCGAGCGTGCGTGGGGGAGCGGTGGCACAGTGGTCGTGTGTATTGTGTGCGAGTGTGTGTGGGGGAGCGGTGGCACAGTGGTCGGCGCACTGCGATACGAACACGGCCGACGCAGCCTTAACCGAGTACCTGGTGTGGGTGTAATCGTCAG